GAGGAAGGGAAAACCACGCGACAAATTATAGACCATTTGGCACCAATTCAACACGAGAGAACTCTTGACTGCGTGAACCTGAATGGTTGCCAAGGTCGCTGAACCAAAGACCCGTTGAGTGGTTGGACCGATCGATTGTCGAGAATAGCAGGCTTCAAGGTCCTCATTGCAAAATGGATCCACACGCAGAGATCTGAACAAGTGGATGTTCCCTCCAACCTTGGATGTTCCCGATCAAACGCCATTGCCCCCCGTAAGATTGCCCGCTTCTTCTTTGGATAACTCACCTTAGCTCAGCTGCCGGACCGGGTGCAAATGACGTGTGGATGCCCCCCTCCGGCCCCTCTGAGCCCAGCAGCTGCAGCTTGGGCCTTTCAGCAGGCACCTGGGCCAGGTTACCATTTCCTGAATGAACCGCACGGTTCACTAAGCAGCCTCGGACCGTGGTAAGTTTCGACATTACTCCCCAAGTCCAATCAATGAATGAGTGGAACATGTCACTAAAAGCTTGTGGTCCTCAGTGAGCCGGCCACGCACTTTTAAGAGTCAAAGGTTCTGGTCCTTAACGAACCAGCCACGACTTGTGACAAGGTGCAGGGCTTCCATCTCCTTGGCCTGGGGAAGTCAACCACGAAGGGTGGTAAATGACACAAAGATCCCTGTCATTCTTTGGCCAACCATGGATTTGAGTAGGCGAGAATGGGAATGTGCTAACAGCACACGGCGTGACATGGCCGACGACATCTGCCCGGGAGGAGGAACCCACGCGTTGCTTTCTGCGCTGACCGCGCAAGTCTTTAAGATTGCTCTGTCGCAGTTGTTCAAGATTGATTAGTAGCTGTGTGCCACTTCCCGCCCGTTCCAAATTTGCAATGGAAACTTGGGAGGACATCATTCTGAAAACGACTACGTCCGCCCAGTCTGGCTCCAAAAGCAAACTGCATGCCGGGGAGGTCCTCGCCTTTTAATATCCAAGGACTCACTGTGGGAAATCGCAGGAACGTCCTTGTCCTCAGTGAACCCTGCATAAACTATGGTAAATGACCAAAACTGTGACTGTGATAACTAGCCATGGTTTCCGTGAGTTGTAGCGCGTCTCTAATTTCCACAAATCAGGCACAAATCAGCCAGCGAATGGGTAACTATTTTCGTCGTGCAAGAGTCAATCTTCTTCATCTGCAAGTGACTAAATGGGCGTGGCACCCCGCACGGGGCCGCAATTTTTGCACGTTGAGGATTCTCAAGGGAATGGTGCTCCAAGTAGGACGGATTCCCAATGCACACACATTGCTAATGCTGCCTGTGCCAGGTTCAAGAGCAAGGAAACTCAACAAGAGTAGGAAACAAATTGCCCTTCCTCAGGAATGCCAGGGAGGGCAGCAGCAATCAGCAGCCCCAGCACCGGAAGCCGGCCTACTTCAACTTTAGTCATATGTGAACACAATTGAGGTTGCCCCTGCCTCAAACCCACAGTAGGAAACCGATGAAAAGCGCAGGTGCCCAAAAGGTCCTATCCTGTCAGGTGCCCTAGAAATATCCCCCAGAGGTTCCCCACATGAGCCAGAATCACGAAAATGACCATTGGCAGGGGATGCCTCACGCGTTCCTCCAGCCTTGGGCACCGTGAATGTTGACCAAGGTGCGTGCCAAGAAACTACAACCCTCGGCTTGGGGGGGGGGTCTCAGGACTCGGATCCCTGTAGCAAGCAACACAATTAGATGCAGGGATTGACCTTTAACATGCAAACCCTGATGAATAGGGTTCCTGAATTTCCCAAGTGGTCAAAACACAATGCCTGATATCTCGGGGCCGTGTTATGTGTAGAAGACCTCTTCAATCTTCGGCGGGCTTCGCTTACAAAAGGGGGGGGGTATGTCTTTTAAACATGACACAGCTCCTCGCCAAGTGATTCTCCGGGCTCCCCGGCAGGCGGCGGTCGCACCGGCAATTGCGCCCCCAGGAGTGCCTGTGAGAATGTCTGCCAAGACCAGGGTTCGATCCTAGACATAGACAGCCAAAGAAAAAGATGGCACGACTCCCTTTTGGGATGCCTTGACAGAAGCAACCAACACGATAAATTCATTTGTGCCATGGTCAAAGCTCACGTGAAATCCCGAAACCTAGGAAAATTGGTTTACTGGCTGCTGCTTTGGCGAAACCTTCCGCAGGTCTTGCGCCACCAAAGGTTGGCTTACGCTGGCCCAGGTGTCTTCTCGCAAACAGCTTACGCATAGCTTACGCATAGCTTACGCGGCGCAAACACAACTTTCCAGTAAAAGTCGGCGTGGGGCACACAACGCCAAACTAGAGCTGTACTTATCATTGGCTGTCTGGAACTCCTATCAGCGTTGACGACCGCGACCCTTCCAATACAAGGAGTGTTTCACCAAGGCACATTGGGCCTGTCTCGAAATGAGTGACGTCCTTGCCTTTGCCCATTGAAGCAAAGCAACCCCAACGAGGTACTTTCCACAATCAGACTCATTTGAATCTTCTACGTTCCGCGTACCTGCAAGGGGGGAACATGTGTTGCACCTCCCTCCTTTTCTTTTGAGACAAGGAATGGCATCAAGCTCCGCGTATCCAAATGCATGACTGTGATCTGCCATTCAAAATAACATTCCAAGGTAAACAAAATGAAAGGCATAAATTTCGGCCACCCCCTCAGGCACAATGCAAATGGAAGGGGGATCCGGGCCTTGCCAGGGTCGTCCGACGCCGGCAATGGCTCAAATTGCGGCGCGGCCAGCACAGCCTGACCCACACGATGATTTGCACCAGGCTTGATGTCCACCGACCATCTGAGGGTGTTCCCGATTTTCGCCACTGAAATTCATAGCCACGTCCGTCAACTTGGAGCATTGCGATTGGCCATGTCATTTCCCATTGCAACGGCACAACTCTCGACGTTCGCTAGCAACACGTCAATATAGTATGGGTCAGGCTGAACGGGTGGCAGCAAAACATGACCGTCAGTATTGTGATGTTGTTTGTGAGGGCACATCCAATAATTCCGAGATGCATACCAAAAAGCCGACTCTCCCCCCTTGGCCCTCCAATGTGCAAACTAAGACACGGAAAGGAGTAATGATTGCTCCCCCCACCCTTGCTCCCGCCGAAGGGCACCTGAAAGATACTGAAAGACCAAGTTCAGCTTCTACGTGGATGAAGAGGTACCCACTTAAAGGGGCAGGGTGCTTAGCAAGTGGTTAGTGAGCCTGGTTGTAACCCACTTAGGGGACTTCATGACCATGAAATAAGTGGGTTATAACCATGGTTATTACCAACTTGCTAAGTACCGTGTCCTTATGAACACGTAATTCATGCTACGAAAAGGAATGAGATACTCCATTTCGACTATATTACAGTCGGAGAGGATATGGGAGGAGATAAGGGCTTGCTTACCATCAAGGATAACTTCTCATTTTTGATTGGTATGTCCAGTTACTATTCCAGATGGAAAATCTACTCATCATGGTTTAGCTGCATGGCGTGCTCTATTTGACTTACCGGATACCTTTGTATCTGATCAAGGGTCTCATGTTAAGTGTCAAACAAAGGTCGACCTAGTTTTTAACACGCCATTGGCCTGCTTGGCACCAGCCAGACCTTTGGCCCACTATGAAGGCTGACAGCTTCACACCTTCATGAGCTGGGTAGTGCATAGCTTTGTGTGGACTTGAGCTTTGAAATATACGCATTTCAGCTACATTTCAAAACCACAAAGGCAACAACTGACAGCCTTGCACGCACGACCTGCGGTGAGACAGAAAGGCCTTGACAAGCCTTCTGGAAGCTTCATGCTTGGCAAGCGCCAAGCAGCTTAATTGCAACATACATGGTTGTGGCTCAAAGTGGACCTTTCCCGCAATTCCAATGCTTTTTTACACGGAAAACAACATGAAACCGACGATTCCAAGCCAGTTATTACTTTGAGACACTCAAGTACATCACGAATACATCTCTTCTACAGCTGCGCTCGCCCCAAGCTGCTTCAGAGAAAGCTGGTGCCACGTCGACGGGACTCTTTCCACCTGCCACAGGCCGCTTGCTGCTTGGGAACAGGGCAAACAGCAGCATCAAGGGTGGGTGAAGGGACTACATTGGACTCTACCAATATAGTTTGGGATCCAATCACCCCATGCACTTGTTTATGGGCGATCCAAGAACAGGCCGTTGATAAATCCAAGGAGGGAGAATGCGTCCGAAATATGCCTTGCGCGGATTTGCGCAGGCGGGCTCGCGCGGAGTCGGGGGATGGGGTGGGGGTCCAACTGCACATCTTCCGGACCAGTGTGGGTGTTCAAGCTGTTTGGAGATTATGCGCATAACTTGGGCTAGCAGCTGGACAGCTCACTCAAAGCCCAGTTTGTTGAATGCTGAAGTCCACCGATGGTCTTGGGCCATTTCTGTTTTTTGCAAAGCAACGCATCTGTCACTCTTGCACTGTTACTGCTACGCTTCGAAGCCGCGAACAGCGGGACCACCGAATTCAGCATCTGTTTTCCTTGTGTTTGGTGCTTTCAGGATCTTAGAAGCTGGCCAAACTTACCTCAAACTTTGCGTGCCTGTTTACGACTGGGCTGAAGTGGCAAGATCGCCTGCTACAGGAGAAAAACACCTTGGCCTTATTTTTCAACGGATACTGTCCGGCAGTCTTGTCCGGCCATCATCACATCATCACAAGTCCAAATGAGCAGTGTTCTAAACTCAGTTGCGGCCGAAGAGAAATATCAAATCCCTTCCGCGAAGGCTTCCGCGGAGCTTGCGCGGGGTGAAAGGTTCCTTCCGCAAGAGGATTGAAGAGGAATCGCTTCCGCGTCGCTTCCGCGGATTGAGAAACGGGATTGAAGTTTGTTTTCGCTTCCGCGCATGAAGGAAAACTAAAATTTATAGCTTTCGCGATTGAATCGTAGCCCTTCCGCAAAGCTTCCGCGAGTACATAATTGAGAAACCCCTTCC